AAAAAAAATTATTAGTGTGTATGGTGTTATGTGGAAATGTTACTTTGATATATATAAATACACTCCTTAAACAACTTTCTAATTTTGTGTTGTTCTTTATAATAAAGATTTAATTTTTCTAAAGATGAGACCAAAATTTACTTTCCTAATCTTTTGAGTACGAATACTTTTATAAAAAAAAAAGAAAATGTAAAAACTTTTATAAAAAAAAAACAGAATGTAAATGCATTTTTAAAGAGATTTAACTTATTGATGCAATGAATGCAAACATGTTCAGTGGCGGATTATCCATTAGGCAAACTAGGCAGTTGCCTTAGGCCCGCTTAAAATAAAGGCCTGTAATTTCGGATTTTGTAAGGGCGAATTCAAGAAAAACAGATCCGAAATGCTTAACTCCTCAACTGGTTATGTTATTCTTTCTTATAACGATGACTCTTAAGTTTTTTGTTAGAATCGAAAAACATGTTATTTTGGCCTAATCAAGTTTACTGTAAAATAAAATGGATAGCTGTAATAAAAAATAACTTGATTTATGCTGTTATAACACTTTCTTTTTGTTTTTTCTGACTAAAAAGGAAAGGAAACTATATCAGCTTTAGCTTTATTAAAAAATCGAAAAACTTTTAGAGGAGAATCGAAATGATCCTTTTGCGTCCAAATGTAAAAAGCTCAATTTCGAGCCCATTGTACTGTTATAAATGTTTCTATTAAACAAAACGAATCAAAATATAATTAAAAATTTTCAACGTGCTCAAATAAAAAATGGATATGGATATGTAACTAAAAATGAGATAAAAGCAAATGATTTTATAGACAATATGTGACAATGGCCTGTTACAAATATTGGACAAATATTTGCTTTTATCATCGAAAGCAAAGCATTTGAAACTGAATAGATTGGTCAGTACAAACTTAAAAATCATATTCATACTTTGGAAGTGGTTTTGTTGGCAAGTTGTTTAGCAAAAAAATGAACGATTATATTATGATACGTTCATTGGTCTCTCCTTCTCAACATATACGAGAAAAATCCCATCAACTTTGGATTTTGTTTAATGTGGATGGCAGTATTTGCACCGCATTTTGCACGTGTACCGTAGGACAAAGTAATTGTTGTAATCACGTTGCTGCGGTACTTTATAAAATAGAATATGTGAACACTAAAGACATAACGAACCCTATTTGTACTGATAATATTTGCAGCTGGAACGCTCCGTCCAAAGAAATTCAACCAAGTATGGTGAAAGATATGAACATTGTTAAACATAAAAGTGGTCAATTGCAGAAAAATCTTTTGATTTACAACGAAAAAAATGATTTTGATCCAAGACCAGTAGAAATGCGCAAAATTACGGAAGTTGAAAAAAAACAATTTTTATTAAATATCAAGGAAGATCTTCCTGACGCCGCTCTAAATATAATGTTTACCCCTCCGCCAGATAATGATGTGCCACTTCCAATAACAAAAATTGCTTCAGCAGCACGTAGTTGTTTCCCAACGGAGCTAAGCTGTGTGACTGATAGATTTTTTGGTATGCTGACATTTAACGACAATCAACTTCAAGAATTAGAAAAAGCTACAAGAAATCAATCACACTCAAACCAATGGCGGGAACAACGCAGAGGAAGAATAACATCATCATGTTTCTATTCCATTCACCAAAAGGTTACATCTCTTCTGAGAAGCCATGATAAAGACACTAAATGCAAAGTTGCGCCACTTCTTAAAGCTATTGTCGATCCTGTTGAATTAAAGAATGTTGCACCTCTAAATTGGGGTAAAGAAAACAAAAAAAATGCTGCTAAAATATTAATGTCAACTGAGGGCGTAAGACATCAAAATCCTAAGCTAATAACGTGTGGTTTATTCGTGCACAAACCGCACCCGTATCTTGGTGCTTCTCCGGACAACATATTTCAATGCCGTTGTTGCCTAAAATCTTGTGTAGAATACAAATGTCCTTTTAGTATTCTGGACGAAGATATAGGCGTTTCATGGAAGAAAACGTATTTTTTGGAAATGGTTGACGGGAAAGTAGTGCTTAAAAGAAGTCACAAATATTACACCCAAATAATCGGCCAAATGGCAATCACTGGTTATAAATCCACGTACTTCGTAGTCTATACAAAAAAAGATGTTTTAGTAAATAAAATCACGTTCGATGAAGAACATTGGCAAAAATGCTTCCAAGCTTAATTCTGTTTTATAAAACGTATGTGCAACGTTACCTACTTGGATTTATACAACTGTATACATGCCCATTGTGCGATAAGCCATGCTTAAATGAAAATGAATTTAAAAGTAAAGAAGATAACAGCATTGATTGTGACATTTGTGGTCTCTGGTTTCATTGGGATTGTTGTGGACTAGTTCAAAAAAGTGTTTTAAAAGATAGATTTATTTGCATTTTTTGCCAATAACTGATAAATCACAACATTGATTTATAAACATTACAGATATTAAATGTATTAAATTAAGCATTAAATTCAGAAAATAATCTTTTTACTAATCATTTGTTTTAATTCATAAAAGTATTAAAGCGAAAAACTATTGACTCAAATGATATTAAAAGGTTTATAATGACGTGTATTTACTGCTAAATTATTTAAATTTATTATAAAAAACAAGAAAAAATGAGGTCTATGTTTAGTTTTAGTAGTGTATTTATAAAAGAAATAAAAATTCAGAAACAATATAAAAAAAAGCAATATAGTAATGTACAAAAATAAATAGTATCTTTATATATATATATATATATAT